TCAAACCCCGCGATGTCATGTTGAGTAATTGAGCAATTGTGCCACCACCTCAAAAAATGAAAAAATGGATTTACACGTGATGACGTCACGTTCAGCGTCGGAAACGACATGTACACCGTTCAGTGAGTGTGTAGAGAGGCCTACATATCTCCTACGTGGGGTTGGCGAGTCTGTGGGCTGCTACTCGTCATTGTGGAAGCGGATACGCACACTATATAAGACGTAGTCTTGTGATTGGCTATAAAGAATTTAAAATTGAGCCAATAGAAACCATGTCAGTCGAGTTTCAAATCGACGCCAACATGGCCTGCAATGCTACCAGCTGTCAAGCTGCCTGGTATACTTATAGCCAAGGGAATAATAGTTATTCCCAGAGTTATTCCCTTGGCTACCAGGTAGCTTGACAGCACCGCCGTTCGGAAGATTACTTCAGTGACCATGAGCAATGGTCACAACTGTGAAGTACGGACCCACTTATTGCCGAGCTCACGGACAAGGCTGCGTCGACGACGGGTGGCGTCCAGAAGGCCAGCCTTGACGCGCTTGTTGCGATTCACAACCGCGTCGGCTCCAAAGTCTTGGCGTCGACTGTACTTGCGGTGGAGGATGACCTCCACGGCCTCCTCACCACAGACGACGACCTCCTTCTTGTGCACGCGAGCAACGGCCTCGCGCTTCTACTTGACGTGTGACAGCAATGCGCCTGCTGGACGACTTGTCAAAAATCGTGACGTCCATTGCCATACTTATTTAAGGGAATTTTCGGGATTGTCCAACTTGCCAGGACGTATTCATGACGTGTTTCGCAGAAATCTGCGTATTTTACAGAAAGGTACCCAAGCCATGACGCCTTTTGCAAATTTCCCCGCCTGGAGGCATCACACAAGCAGGCAAACTCCGAAATTATCGCTCCAAAGCACGAAATTTGCCTACTGAAGGCTTGAACTTACTGTGTATTTCGCCAACAGCCCCGATAAATTATTTGACGCTTGGACTCGTTACTAGGAACTGTTAGCCACCATCTTCGATGCCTAGGAGCACCATACAAGGCAAAACCTGAAATTACTGCCTCAAAGTACGATACCAGCCTACCCAAGGCATAGACTCATCCTGTATTTCACACACAGCTCCGATTCGTCTCCCGTCGATTGGAGTAATTACTTTGGACCACTTGGTGTCGCGAATCAAATGCGGCAGCAAGCTCTCAAAGTCCGTGTCGTGGGCCACAATCGCGAGTGACGCGCCAGTATTCTATCGTTGCGGCTTGGAGCGTCTCTTGGCGCGCCAGAACGCACGCTCGTGGCCAACGTCTCGTCTACACGGGCCAGAACATCACACATCCAGACGTATCGATCGGTGTAGTACCTGTAAGAACGCTCTTGCTGAGCCATCGGTCCGCCGAGCACCTTGTTGCCGAGCCGAGAGTGGACGGCCTAGGCGACGCACGTGATGGCGCATCCGACTGCATACATTGTGCCAATGGCCGCGAGCGGTCCACGCTCTGGAGGCGCGTCAGTAGAGACTGTTGAGGTAGGCCCATACCGAGCGTCGCTCGGCGCAGGTCTACGTAATGGGCTTGCAGGAGCGCATCTCGGCGGCTCGTGGCCGTCGCGAGACAGAAGCCGTCGAGAAAATTGGCCAAGGCTCCGCCCTCGGGCCGACTCGGTGGCTCGTCACGCATACAGATGTTGCGCCATACCTACAGCGACGTCGCGTGAGCGCCTCAGCCTGAGGTCTGCGTCCGGCTGGCCAAACGTACCTCGTCCCGGCCCGCCGAATGGGACGATGGACACGGACTCGACAGTCTGCCGGTGGAGCGCGGTCGGCGACAGCGGGGAGAGGAGGCGGTCCTTCTCGGACGTGCCATGGCGCAGCACGAGCTCAATCTCGGCGTCTACCAACACATCGTCAGTCCATCGTCCGGATCATCATCGTCGGGGCCAGCCTCGACTGGTACTACATCACGAATGTCGACTTATTCAAGGTCAACGTCCGAGGCGGCCCTGTACCGGCTCTGGGTGATGCTCGTCGGCGTCGCGATGCACCAAGTGTGGTCGCACCGCAATCACCGCAAGCACCGCGACCGGCAGATCCCTTCCACGCAGGCGCTCGTGGAAGTCTCCTTCCTCCTGTGGATGTCGACCGTCCGACGATGGCTCCGTCTCCAAGGCGCCGATGACCTCGAAGCGAACGCAACCCGGGCCGCACTCGCCTTGCTCTTCCGCCAAGAATCCTACGCTGCACTGCGAGCCAAGCATCCCCGGTTTCTGCACCTCGACTCGTCTTTCTGTGCACTAGCAGCTTGCACTAGCCTCCTTGCCGAGTGCGCGACCAGCACTCGCCCCTCCCGTCGTCCCACCGTGTAGCACCCTACTGGTAAAGGACTGGATTGAGCTTCGGCAAGATTAGTACAGTGTAGTAGCACTTAAATGGTCTAGTGCAGTTTTCGATTTTCTGTTTTGTACACGAATGTCGAGAAAAGTCGCCTGCAATTTTGAATATGTGATGATTCTTGAAAAATACGCTGACGGATATAATTCGGAATTTATTTCCATGTCGCTCATATTTATATTGGTAATAACATGCTTGAATGTGAATAAAAATCCAGCTGGCTATATGGTCGCGCA